TAATTTTTATAAGTCACAATTATTTTACGGTCTCAGTTCAAAAAAGTTATACGTCATCGTATTTTTATCTATCACAGATCAAAAATTTTGTATATCACGGATTATTTTGAAGTCACAAATCAATAATTTTATAGATCACATATTATTTCATTCATCACGGATCAAAAAATTATAGGTCACAATTATCTATCAGTCATATATTTTCAAATTTATTGATCACGGATTAATTTTTAGTCACCAATTATCGAATTTTAAGGTCATGGTTAGTCCATTATGCGATTTTTTTCTGTGACCATCACCGACTTCTGTGACCACCCCAACACTTGTACCACTACTGCCACCAACCGCATAGCCATAGTTGCTACCACCACAACCACCACTAACACCTTTTCTTTTTTCACATAGCATTAAAGTTACGAGCACACCCAAAAACATCATGCAATTTGGACCTTCTGCACAATCCCGACAGCTGCAATATGGCTTTTGGTCACTCTAAACTGACTACAGTTATTGCAATAGGACATCAAAATTCAATGCCTAAAAAAACTCAGTATGTATTGTGTTTAAGTGGATTTGAGACAGATATCAATATATGGTGAGCCGACGTAACCCTCCAATGGAAACCCAGTAATGATCTTTATATATGTATTTAGCGCCAGACATGCTGAAGACAATATACTGTATTTAGCGTGACACCGTCACCACCACCATCGACCGCCATTTGTACCACCAGTCTGGATGTTAGAATATGCCCTCAGTAGCTAAAGACTCAGTCTCTGTATTCACCTCTCCCGCCTTGGCCAGTCGATGAAGGGAAGCAACAATCCCTTTCAGAACAGCATGGTCATGTTGCAAGACTGCCAAATGTGCAGGAGTGTGTGCATATTTTGACGCATCTTCCATGGCCTTTCTTCTTTCCTCCACTCTCTAAACCTTTTTTCCTTTAATCAATTCAAATAAATTTCAATAAAATCACCGCCATTGCCAGCAACCGCCATCGCCAGCAATCGCCACCACAAAACTTACCTCCATCGTCGGATCCACCATTGCCATTAGACCCACCACTATCTCCAACAACCACACAAATCATTCACGGTCAAATCATAGATACTGCAGATCGCCACCAGAATCGCCAATAACGCCAGATCCACCGCAAAACCACCTCACCACTGTCGACGCTGCTATAAACCATGACACCAACCACTACAGAAGTCACCAGAGCTGTTGGAGCCACCTTGTGCTTGTCAGAGGTTATGGATTGGTACAGAGAGAGAATGGAGAGGCAATGGGTTGGAAGAGAGAGATGCGAGAGGCGAGAGATTTAGAGAGAGAAAGTTGGGAGAAAATTGATTAGGTTTGAGATGAAAGTTGTATATTTAATATTTAAAATTTAATTGTGAAATATCTGATTTGTGAAATTTTTAACTTTCCACCTGATTTTAGAATTGAGAATTTTAAAAGTAGGGTATGGTATAATTTTCACTATTAAAAATAACATTTTATGATTAAAAAATCATACTATGTACTCGTAGGGATACTTGCACTTTTCTCGAAAGGTAAGGACTTCCTTTGCAATTTTTTCTAGCTTTATCCGACCAAGTGATCAGTGATGAAACTGTTTATAACTTTAGTGATTAATTTATAAGAAAAATACTTTAAAATGACCTTTAAAAAAGTTCTGCACATACTTCAGTGACCATTATAACTCATCTTGACATGAGGTGCACCACGTTGACCTATTGCTACTCTAATTTGGATATCAAGAACAGCAACTCAAAGGAGAACCGATCTTACTAAGTGTACAGAAATGTTTGACAATTTTATTGATAAATTGTGAACTTGCAAGATTTCATTGATTGTTGGACAAGAATCACAGTTAAACCAATCAATGCAGTGTTGTCATCTGTATATATATATATATATGTAATGCTTTCTGTACATTTCATATGTACAATAAGCTTAATTCAACGAGAATAGAGATGATCCTTGGTTCGTACAAACAGTAACGGGCCGGGATTCGGACAAGTGGGGCCTAATTTAGTTCAGGAATTTTTATTTTCAAAAACAAAATATTTTAATATTAAAATAAAAGTAATAAAAAAAAGAGAAAAAAGATTTAAATGTTTTTTTCCTCAAATTTCAATGGGTTCATGAAAGCCACTGGTCGCCACCTCCCTCTGTTGCTATGTGCAAAGGTAGATCCCAAGCGCTAGTATTTATATTGTCATCACAATTGCACCAAATTGTATTAATTTTTGTGGATGAAATTGATCTCCCAGATCTATTTTTGTGTATTAGGAGTTTGCAGATATATTTCGATGAGTTTAAATGTGTTAAGCTCGAGCTTGATCTAGACCCCTGAACTTAACCCCCTCAAATATCCCAACTCCAAGGTTGGGGTTACCATTGAGATTGGGGTTGTGCTACGAGGTCGGGCTAGTGGTACCTTATGCTCGATCTTCTTGTATTTATCTCACACCTCCTACAAATAGAAATCCTATTTTGATTATGACTCCCCTTTTTTCCTATTTGAATACAAACTCCCAAATTATTACAAATTTAACTCTAACTCAAACTTTGCACTTCTAACATAACACAAACATCTTGTACGACAAGGATAAAGATTACATGAAGTTGGATCCTTTTAAGACTCCATCTCCAAACACCTATAAATATGTGACCCGGTCTCAAGATTCAGGTACGTTTTACGTAATATTCCAGCATACAGCCTTTTGCACACTTTTGCTTTCTGACTTAAGCATCAGTCATCAGAGGGGCGATAAGGACACTCTTCGACGACTTTGTTTTAGGTATTGAAGATCGGATCGTACGGAGTTCAACCATCCAATTTGAGTGCATGCAAGTACAAGTTTTTGGTAGCATCATATTTAATTTTCCAAAAATATGAAATAAAACTATCGATGGAATATCAACAAACTTGATTAAGTACTAAACATAGATTTATTGGAGGATTTACAAACATAAGCTTAGTTAGGATCCGTTTGATATGATTTTTACTTTTACTTCATATATAAAAGCCTTTTGAAAAAAATTACCTTGATTTTTGTTTGGAAACCAATTTTTAAAAGAGCTTCAGACTTCAAAATTATGTTTAGAGCAAGTTATATTAGATCAATTTTCTCTAAAATTCTTCTAATTAGAGTAAATACTTTCATAAAATTTGTCAAAACGGGTTCAAAAGTAGTTTTTTAGTCTCAAAAGTTCATCTTGACTTCTTAAAAGTCATGCTAAATAAATCATTAATGATGTTACAAAAAATCGTCACATATTGATTCTCGAGTATGAGGATTGAGGACGATCACAAACAAAATCTCCGACACCTGAAACAAAAGTGTCGATGTGTGCCATTGTCGCCCATCCGATGCTTAAATTAGCGAAAATGAGAAATATAAGCGTAAAACTATAAATTAAATGTAAAAACATACCTGAATAATGAATTAGAACCTTTATTTATAAAGACTAGTAGTACAATTTTGATAGGATCAAGATACTTGAAACCTTATCTATTTAAGAAATATAAAAGACTCGAGTAATTTAATATCAGTAAGAGTTGTAAGTTAGTTAGAATCCAATTTTGTCGGAGTTGAATAAGTTTGAAAATGAAAGTAGAGTCCCACTAGAATATGTTTTTTGAGATGGAGAATGCGACAAAGGTAAAAACTCGAGATGACATAGAATCATCAAGCGTGACAATTAAGCTCAACGAGGATACCTTGGAAAAACTCTCAAGATGATCAGAAATAACCTCGAGCATTGTTGTATGGGGTTGATCAAAAAATGACATATCACTTAAGATGGCTTTTACAACATTAATATCGGTAAAAGAAATACGATTACCAATAGAAAATACAATTAGCTCCTGTTTGGTACACATTAAAATTTTCATTCACATTCTTCTACTCATTTTCAACCACACATTTTTCAATAAAATAACATTTTTCATCACATCAATAACTTTTCCTTCATTTTTAACCACATATTCTCCATCAATCTACTATTCAATAGTACATTCTTTCAAAAGAATGTGTCCCAAACACACCCTTCATTTCACCTATCATTTAATCTCACATTAACGTCATCTAGACTGAGTTTATAACCTTAATGAGGATGAATAATATTACTCAATTGCATATCATCGAATCCATGTTTAATGTAAAAAAGAAAAAAATTTTCTTATTCTTCTACTCATTTTCAACCACATATTCTTCCATAAAATAACATTTTTCATCACATCAATAACTTTTCCTTCTTTTTCAACCACAAATTCTCTATCAATCTACTATTCCAAAATACATTCTTCCAAAATAATGTGGTTCAAACACACCCTTATTATCAAATTTTCTAGTCGATCCCATCACATAGAAAATAAAATAAAAAATAAAATAACCCATGCCAGCATGACAAAGACAAACGAAGCCTATAAGAAACAACAAGAATTCCTGTTATCTGACTACAAAGCCGTGTGGAAAAATAACTCTATTGCTTTTCTTCGGGGCTATTTTCCTCTATTGGGTATTCCTGAAATCAAGAAAAGGTCACATCAAAATCGTCAATATGTATCTAGAAATAAACCTGAAACGTTGGCTTGAAACTCTATTCTTTACTAATCTCTTTTATTCAGCAAAGCTGGTAATAGATTTTTTCCTCAGGTTAACACGTAGAGAAACTTAACGTGCAAGGAACGCTACTGTGTATGTGTGTTTTAAATCAAAGCTATACCCTAGTTATGAGTCGGTGCTAATATATCCGATCTGCCTGTTATTTCTTCTTCTTTTACTCTTAATTTTCTTGAAATCGCTTGAACTAAGAACGTTATATATATAGGACCGTTTGGAAGATAAAGCTTCTTCTCATCTCTCTCGACCACCACCGGGCACAAGAAACGACGTTCTCTTTCACGCCTTTTAACCAATTGAACGGACCGGAGAACTGCTTTTGCTAAAACTTGATCAGTTTCGTCAATTCACACGGATAAAAAAATGTTACGGTTTCTGAAATTGCCCTTCAGCAAAGATGGTAAGTTCCAAACCAGTTTCATTTTTTGTACAATCAGTTTCGGATTTTCGTACATTTCATGTAGTTTCAATCTGGATTTATTGCTGTGTTCTGTAATCAAGAAATGGATGATTTACTTTCATGCTGTTTCCAAAATTAATCATGATATTTGTTAACTGGTTTGATCAGGTAAACGTGGAAAAGATGTGAACAACTTGGTGACCAAGTCAAATGTCAATGAAGAATATAAAGAAGCCTTTAGGACAAATTCTTACGTAGAAATTTACAAGAAAGTTCAGGGTCAACTGGAAAGAAGTACCGATAATGGACCATCCTCGTCTTCATCCTCGTCTTCGTCCTCATCCTCATCCTCATCCTCATCCTCGTCTTCTTCTTCTTCTTCTTCAAGGAATGTTCATCTCTCCGAGTTTCTATTTGAACCTCAGCAAGAAACCCTAGCCTACATGATTGAAAACTCGGAGCTTCATCAACTTCTCGTCAATTACTTTGAGATTAGTTTAGAGGCCTGCAGATTATGTGAATTGCTCCTCAAAAACGTCCACAAAGTACGCGCTAATTATCAAGTAATAAAAACCGCGATAAAGCAAATGAAGAAGGCACCTGATGGTGCAAGTTGGAATACAGATGATCGGTGCCTTGCTGTTTATAGAAATCTTGCTTCATTTGTCATGCTTAGGAATCCCTTATCAACAATAACCCCATTACAATTCCAAGAATTACACGAAAACCACTTACATTTTCTTCATAGATTAACATCCAAATGTGGGAAAACAAAGAGGAAAACAAAATTGAGAAGGTGGATCAAGAAAGTCATGACGTACATTTTTTTGGGGACATGTGGCGCATTAGTCATTCCTATACTAATTCTTGCATTTCATAGCATGGTAGCGATGGTGGTTGCACCAGTGTTGTTCGTTCTTGGTTCTTTAAGCTTAGTCTTGAAGAAATTAAAAGTGGCAAGAAAAAAGTTGAAGAAGAAAACCCCATGCGAAAGGCTAGGAATGCAGCTTGATATTGCAGCAAGAGGGGTTTATATATTGATCAAAGACTTTGATACAATAAGCAGATTGGTGCAGAGACTTCATGATGAATTGGAGCACGAGAAATTTGTAGCAGACATCTGTGTTAGGAAAGGGAAGAATGAAATCTTGAAAGAAGTTCTGAGAGAGTTTCAGCTAAATGGATCTTCTTTCTTGGAGCAATTAGAAGAACTTGAGAAGCAAATATATCTGTGTTTTCTTGACATAAACAGATCAAGAAGGCTACTTTTTGAAGAAATAATCAGTTAAGTGCTGATCCAGATTTTCTTTTCACTACTAGAGATTTCGATTTTCTTCTCTCTTATTTGTATTATTCTTTCAGTTTAGACGACTAGAAAGAATTGAGTTCATACTTAAGATATGTATCTAAAGATTTTAGTTAATAAAAATAACATTGTAACACGATTTTAAACACAAGCAAGAACTTATCCAAACAATGCGCGTCATCTCTATATTACATATTTTGATGGCCTTTTGGGTTTGCTCCTCAATGGTCACCAGTTCGAGTCCCCCTCAGGCCACTGAGGTGAGTATTCGGCCGTAAACTTCAGAGCCCTGTGAAATTAGTCGAGGTGCCCGTAAGCTGACCCGGACATCCACGGTTATTAAAAAAAAAAAAAACATATTTTGATGGCCTTGGACAACTTTTTCGAATTTCACCAAAAATGCTCACCAACCTTTTGATCTCCATGTGAAGTAATCGAGAATTTAAACCCAGTATTATCTAAGGCTTACAATATTTTGACGTGGTCTAAAATTTCAATCTAGTATTTATTTCGTTAGGCTTAGCGTAATTACTTACTCAGTGGATACACAAACTAGTTCTTTTAGCTTGTAGGTTCTCAAGGCTACCGTGTGAATGTAATAACTTATACTTTCGTAATCTTTATCAATTTCGATGTTTGTATCTTGAGTTTTTTTTATGTTTTTTTTCAAAGGAGGAACCTCGAAGCGATTAAAATATGTCTACATATGAATATTTTTCTTTTACATATCTCCCATCGAAAATCCCCTTAAATTTTTAAATGTATAACTGGTAGTCAATTTATCTCCATGACATGTTTGGCCAAACAACTCGGTCTATATCCGAGGTTGGATAAATGTTTGACGACATACATACTAAACATTCAACGAAAACGTATTGACAATTGATGCTTTGCGTCTTCATACCATGTTTGCTTTCCGTTTTAAACACATTTTCTCGAACTATAAATATTACAATTAAGTTGGAACTTAAAAATAAATTATTTTACTGAACAACTCCATATTCCTCTATTATCAAACAACCAGAAAGCTCACTTTCTCTTAGTTGCTTTTGTTCCTCAAACCTTTATACCAAACACACAAATACATTTATCTGCACCCAATTAATTTAACCACCTTTTACCTAACAAATCTGCAGTCTTTCCTAATCTCAGTTCCACCAGTGATGCTGCTCATCTTGATCATGGACTTAACAAATGCTTTATTAAATTCTTCTTGCGAGCAGGCGAATTTCGAGACCAATGATTTTGTTCTTGAAGTAGTAAGTAAAGCTTGGTCTGAGGAGAAAAGACTTTTTCCCTGGAGAAGTAACTTGTAGTAGGTGTTGTCAAATGTAGTTGAAGAAGAATCTAATCTGGATCCTGCATTTTTCACCGTGTTATGCATGGGGCAAATTTTCCTTAATCTGGCTGCAAAAGATGGATGCATTGATGGATCAATGTCTGTTGTGGTGTTGAATTTGTGGATTCTGTTCTGGAAGGATGAACAATGAGAGAAACCTAGTGTGTGCCCTCCTGCATGCATGTACATGTCGAGGTAGATAATATTGTGGAGAAAATAATTTTGTGACCAACTAATTTCTAAAGTAAAAGGAAAAAGAATTTTTTTCTCTCAAACTCTACCAAGAGCTATAATTCACATTTTGCTCGAAAAGGGTCCTGAATGACTACAATGGACTAGTATGCATATTGTGTCAAAATCCGAAATTTTATAGCTTGAGTTTGGTTCTAGTAAAAAAGTGATTAAAGTTTAATAATCCACACATTTTATGAGACTTACAGCTTTCAATTATACATTCCACCAACTTTTGTCAAAATCTACTAAAATTTTGATTTTTATCTAAACCAAACAGGAGCATAGTACTATTCTCTCTGCATCATACCATGTAGCACGAGAGACATGATTTGGTGCCACGAGTCCAAGGATGGATCGAAAATATCAAGCTGAAGTGAGAAGATTATTTTGAGAAAGACTTTTACAGTTACCTGAGAGTGCCACTAAATCATCCATAGATAGGCCTCTTTGGGAGAAGCTTTGCTGCAATTGAGATATATTGAAGGTGGGTGCTGGTAGTTGTTTGGTTTCAATAGCCTTTGAAATTCTTCCATCTTTTCTCCCTTTTGGCACATCCCAAGTAGGACCTCCAGACTAACATGCCGATTTATGAAATTATTATTTAGGGATTTTTTTCCCTAGACATACTCAATTGAAGTAGTTAAAACAACTGAATCTATCTGATGTATCAAAGACATGTTCGGTATGTAAGACTAGACAATTGATAAATTTGTTACACATATCACATTTTTTTCTTTCAGTTTTATATTGTCTAGTCAAGCTTACCAAATATATGCAACGTGAGAATATAGATTTAAGAGTTCTTCTATTATCTAAGAGTTTAAACTTTTAGGTGATGATCAGTCGATGGTTCAAATACAAGATAAAAGTCGTGATCTCAAGTCGAAGTTGAACTTACCAGAGCAACTGCATCTCTAGCAGCTAGAGCCAATATATCAGCACAAGAGACTACTCCAGGACATTGTGCCTCTACTTCCTCTTTAGCATTGTCGATAACATAAAATGCATGCAAGGAAATGTTAGGAGGGCCATCTTTTTCAGCTTTCTTCTTCCCCTTGGTGTTCAGCAGCACAGAAGCATCACAACCCTTAAAATACATACAAATAAACCCTACGAAAATCATAGTGAAAATCGAAAAATACTGAAAAAATGAGCGAAATTATTACTAGTAAAAAAATAATGGAAAATATGTACTCTAATGAAGCAGTCATGGAAGTGCATCCGAAGTAAAGCGGCTGGAACTGTGTTGTCGTTCATCATAGCTTTCTTTACAACTTTTCGTATCGTCGACTCAGCCTTAGGGCATGTTTGGTGGAAGTAATCTACACTTAATGCATTGGAATAACCCGATATCAAAGAAACTACAAAAACACTCACTAGTGAAAAATAAATGGCTGCCATTGTATAAGCTCTTCAAATGTTTCCTGTCTTGATCCAAGAGATAATGATGTCCCAATGGTATTAGTAGGAACCCACCCCCACCCACCCCACCCCAGCCTATGGTTTGTTAACATGTTTGGTGAGCTAGAACCACTAGAGCTCGTTGGAGTAGTTTGAGAATAGAATAATCCTTGTACAAAACCATGCATAAATTTCATTAGCAAGTCATTATGCCCAAGCATGAAGTCACGAACTAATAATATATTCCATTTTGGCTAATGAAGCAATCTACTAGGAATCCAAAAGAAAATGATTAAAGGTGGTGTACTAGCAACTTTTTTTATTAAAGATATGACGTGTACGTATATTTTTATTAATGAATAATTTAAGAGACTTAAATCCATGTAATCTTTCGCTAGGTCTAACGTGTACGTATATTTTTATTAATGAATAATTTAAAAGACTTAAATCCATGTAATCTTTCGCTAGCTCTAATATCAAGTTAACTATCTCATCTAAAAATTTAAACTTTCGTTTGAATATAAATTAATTTATAAATAATTTATAAAATTCAGTCAAATCTCAAACATTAATTTTAAGCAGACATTCATAATTACTACTCATCATGGGTGGATTTAGGGGCGGGCCAGCCTCTGCTACAGCCCGTTCCTCCAGCCCAAATCCTAAGTAAAAAAAAAGAAATTAGTAAATCTTTTTTTATGTGTGATTTTTTTCTTCGTTTTAGCCCGTGTCTAATTTTTTCTAGATCCGCCCCCTGCTGCTCAGTATTGTGCCCCTGTTTGGTATAGCTAAGAATCAATTTTTTAATATATTCTAATAAAAGTAGTTAAAACGTGTGATTCAAAAATTGATCATAGTTGTGGTTCCAATAAAATATGTTATTAAAATTAATTGTTGACTTGATTAATTTTTATTTTTATTTTTTCAAAATTTTAAACTATACCAAACAAGGGTTTTAGATAAATTTTGAGCAATTCAACTATTCTTCATTAACTATTTATAAATTTGTCATTTTTGAGAAGATTGATATGTATTTTTTTAGACATGTCTTCGACACTTCCAAATTCACACAAATAATACTAAAAATTGAAAACCACCCAATGGAAGTTGCTCAAATGCCCAAACTAACTAAAACAAATTTGTGAAAGAAGCCGAAAACTTTTTGGTGCATGGATAGGGTTGAAAAGTCGATTAATTTATTATTTTACTTTCAATCCCAGTATTTAATTGAATATAGTCCGAATTTTTTTCATCTACATTTTTCTTATACAATCGAATTAACTAAATCCAACGCTCAAAAAGTTAATCTGGGAGTCGTCTCTAGAGATCCAAATTATTAAAAAATAATTTAACAGAAAAGTTATTGGTCCACGTGACTCGTAGCGACCAATCGTGTGTCACTCAAATCAGAAATTCTTGAATTTTACACGTCTAACTCAAGGTGAGCTTATCCGATATTAGAGTCTCACATTGGTTGGTAATATTTACACGATCCACTTAATAAGGTAAGAGCAATCCTCCTATAACAAGCCGATTTATGAGGTTGAGTTATGCTCAATATCCTTTCTAATATGATATCAGAGCAGACTCAGTTTTGTAATGTTGGGTGCACCCAATATCAATTTGGTCACAGTTGTTTGGTACGGTCCACGTTATGTGTGAGGGGACGTATTAAAATCTCACATTGGATGGTGATATTTACATGATCCACTTACTAAGGTGAGGACAATCCTCCCCTAACAAGTCAGTTTTGTTAGGTTGAGTTAGGCCCAATATCCTTTCTAATATCCGAAGACATATTCGACTCAACTTCAGATCCGAGCCAAACCAACCTACATGGACCGCACATGGCACTTGTCTGTTGATTAACATCCACTTTTAGAATGCAAAGAATGTATATGAACCGTGAACATGTACTTCTTATTATAGTTTATATTACAAGGTATAGAAATAAAACTCGAAACAAATCTCTGAGGTTGCATATGAAACTTGCTTCTTATTTTGGAAATATATCAATAGAGTTGAAAACAATGGCTAAATACACAGTGCCAACCAAATTTTTGGTGGGCTTAAAATCAGGCCCGAATGTAATATTGTATAGCTCAAAACACTGGCGGGCTGCTTTCAGTAAAAGTGTAAGCACGCCGCAGCCTGTTAACCGTGAAGGCCCAAAACCTAAAACTCGAGGACCCATTATCATCTTTAGAATTGGACAGGGCTTGAAAATGTTTGGCCAAAAGCCCAATTTGATGGGACTATGTTTAGGAAAGTTCTTGTTTGACCATCAGTGGTTGTGACCTTGAAGGATATAGATTGGCCATTGAGGTAAGAATTGGATTGCCAATTAGCCCCCCAATTCCTAGACATAGCCATCCAGTTGTTTTTCGAGCCCTTGATCTGAACTGATTGAATAGATCCAGCATTTGCCACATTGCTAATCATTACAAGCTCAAAGTAGTCCCTTCCATTGATGGTGAATCTAACTCCGCCATGTTTCTTGCACGGAACCCTACATCACATATAGAATATCAACCATCAGGTCGAGAACATGAAAGATTGGATAGAGAGAATTGATATATGAGATATTAGTCTGATCTAACTTAGAGGAGCTCGTGAGCTATATTAAAAGAAATGTAATGACCTTTGGTAGATAACGGGCACGATTCCACCTCTATAAATTCCAATCTTTTTCCAAGCGGGTTGAGCCATGTCAAAATGTTGGCGGGGTGGGTTGCACCAACCTCCATTGTCACTAGGAAGAGCCAAATTTGGAGGACAAAAGTTTGTAGCAGTAACAGTAATAGAGGTTCCCTTGATGCACCATTTAGGATCAGCATTGTAATCACACATAATCTTGTAACATTGCCCACATGCTGCTCCATCGTTGAACAATGCAGTGCTCAATGCTGCAGTTCTAGTACCATAACCAGTTGAATACAAGTTCCCATATCCACAAGCACCACCTGTTACAAAACAATTATTAAAAAAACGCGTTTTTTTTCATAAATTAACGATCTTCTAGTAGATCTAGCAAGAAAAAAAAAGGGGTTTTTCAAAATATTTGTAATCTTATACCCATTGTCCCAGAAGCATCACTGCCTCCATAGAAGGTTGCATGAGCTTGAGTCCAACCAGAAGCTGTAAAGGCACTGGCCTTCATGAGAAAACAAGAGACTCCAATTATAAGTACAATTGGCAAAATGACATTTTTAACCATTTTTCTCAATGAGGAGGAGAATGAGAAGAAAGATTAGTAGGGTTATTTCAGTTAATGGCTATGCAAAACACAAAATCAGCTGTAACTTATATAGGTACCAGATTTTCTGCATATGCAACAGCCTCACATGTGAAACTGCAACTAGGATAAGAAAAACATCATTTTTTTTAATGAATTTATCTTTAAAAAGCCTGAAGAATTCTGAATCTCATTCAATTATTCCCATGTTCTTCTGTCCATTTCTTGAAACCCCACGTGAATTTTCCAACAGGAGAGCCGTGAATGAATCAAAATCACACCCCAACTTATTAATTTCTCATATTCTTTTTAAGGGATTTCTTGTTATTTTACAAAAGAAAACAAAATATATTCAAATCTTGGAATTATAGAATATTTGGCAAAAATCAATTTGATGCGACTTTACATGTGCTTTTATTTGACCTTATATGAGACAACCCCATTATTCTTCTTTGTAATGCACATGCCCTTGACTACATTGTAAGGTGTGGTTATTATCTATATGAAAATTAGTTGAAGAACACCGAATTTGAAACCTCGTTTCACATTGGTCACTTGGCTTCCATTTGTTTTAATTTAGTCACCTAATTTACATTTTTTGTCTCAATTTGATCACTTCATTAGTAAAGGGACAAAGCTTGGGTCCTGTTTGGCCTAGTTTTTTAAAATACATTTTTCCTCAAACTCATTTTCAACCGTTCATTTCATGAAATCAATAACTTTTACAATTTTTTAACAACACGTTTCATTAACTTTCATCAACAATCCGTTATAAATTTGATTTTTATCTAAACCAAACATGGACTTAAGGGCAAGTTTCACGTGGTTGACGAAAATGCATCACATGGTACTTATATAATGTTAAATCAACATTTTTTTGCCAAAAAGACTCGAATGAGTGAATTAAAACCCCATAAATTTTCCAAAACACACAAACTTTACCAGTTCGTATGCATGAAATCTTACCAAAATACACGAAATGATAGTTATATTATCCAGTTGAAATAAATCAATATTGAGTGACCACCATGAAATAAATTGGGCGGTGACCTTCTGTTAAATGAGTTTGTTGACCCCACTCCAACCATGCAGTTTCGTATAATAATTCCTAACCATGTGATATTGCACCGACAAGCAAAGCTCATGAGAGTTGATTATCATAGTCCCCGGGTATTAAGGAGGAAATTAAGATTAGGTTAATTAATAATTATTATTAAATACAAGAATAACCAAAGTTAACTAATAGCTGCTACCTAATCTAGTTTACGGAAAATAGATGGCAATCACAGGAATACCAAGAATCAGTCGGTTGAAATGCATTGCTTCACTGGATTATCTTTAATGTTATTTATCATTATGATGATAAAACATCGATGATATGATAGTTTATATGGAGTAGTGAAATTGAACAGTTCAATTTTTATAAAAGAGAGGGGGCGAGAGAGAGATAATGAATTGGTATACTGATATTCCATTATCATGATAATAAATAGCATTACTCTCTCAAATTTTCTCCATTCCAATACTTCAAAGCACATTTTGCTCTATTTAGTAGGGATTAAAATTAAAATTTTAGTAAATTTTAATAAATATTGATGAAATATGATCTCGTGAAATATGTGATTTTAATTAATTTTTGACCTTTTGACTTAGATTAAAATTTTAATTTCAATCCCTCCCAAACATGGGACATGGGCTTATGTTGGTTTTATGGGAATGTAATTCGCCCTCAACAACTAGTATATGAGCCTATTTGGTAGGGTTTGACAAAACTCTCGAATCGAATCGGAATCAAAACCGAATCGAACTTAACCGAACGGTTCTTCATATGTTAAATACCTGAACAACTATCTGAATCGAGAATCGATGGGTTTGGTCCGGTTCTCGATTCTAGACCAAGAACCGAAGAATCGAATAAGAATCGAATCTGAAATTTTTTTTTTAGTTTTTTATATTGAACTAATTAAATTATTTTAATTTTTTTTAAACAAATTAGAAAATTAACTAATTTAATTGAACAAGTTCTAGTTTATTTGTGTTTGTTAATTGTGTTTTTTCAATTATGCTTGTAGAGTTTATTAGAATGACAAGTCAAGCAATTGATAATTAAATAAAATAATTGGTAAGTATTACCAATACTTAAAAATATTTTATTTTTATAACTTTTAATTTATATTTCATTTTCT